AACTCGAGGTTCCGAACGAGGTCGCTGGCCCAGAAAACGTGACGGATCATGGATGGTCGCCTTCTCGTTGACGACGTTTTGGTTCCAGTGTTACGAGCATGTCAGTGCTTGACGCGAGCTCGATGAGGATACATTCGTCGATGCACACTTGTAGTTGAAGCATCCAAAGGGGGCGTGACCCGAGTCGTGCTGGAAATGATGCTGCTCAGAGATACGCCTTGGACGAGCCGTGTGATCGTGTTGCCGACTACGCGGAATGCGTTGGCGGAGCCGCACTAGCCGGTGGGCGCCGAGAGACTGATGCCGATACGTGTAGCGCCAACCAAAATTGGTTGCTGTCAGCTGCACAACCCCGCAGGTGTCGAGAAAACTGCAGCAGTGGCACCCGATGTCCCATCACGTCCGCGCTCGTTGAAGCTGTCGCACGTAACCAGGTTATGTACCTACGCAAGTAACCAAGTGATGCCCGCTGCTACGTCGGCCAAGCGTAGCCACGAGAGCAGTGATAGGACGACCTTGCGGGAGTGTGAATTTGAAACGACTCGCCGCTCAAAAACATCACGACGTGGATGAGACGTGCGTCGACCGAGAGAGGTTGGAGGCTCATTTTCTCGAGGCCGAGTGGGCAGCAGCTACCGCATCGATCCTTCTCTGAAAAATCGTCGGTGCAGATTGATGTGGTGCCGGCAGGTTGAACCAGGGGTCCGCGGCATGCCGCAGATTTTTGTGCGATGGCATTGCATACCGGGTGACCATGACGAGCGAGCTGAACTCTTAGAGGAGCGTCGTTTCCTGGGACGGTGATCTGCTGGCGACACCCGCGCATCAGTACAACCACGGATTGGGGCGCAACCGCGCTGCCGCTGCCAGCTGCCAAACTGAGACTCGCAGCTCGACACTGCCTTCGCCAGCGAAGAACCCTTGAGGCGTTCACCAAAGCGCTGAGCACGCCGGTCTTGCTTTAACTCCAGACGTAGACGCGCCCCGTGGTTGGTTCAGTCGAGCCATGTAGCGAGCGCCGCTAAAATGTCAACCATCGTGTACGCCGTAAACTCGGGCGGCACACTATCCTCGACCCGGATGTCACCGTTGTCAAGATGCAGATGGCACCTAGTCGACCGTCCATTATCCAGTCGGTTGATTCCTGCTTCACACGCAGGAGGTGCGGTGTTGTCCCTTCCCATTGACGTTGGCATCAGAACCATCCAGTCGATTCTTGATAATCATGCTAGACAGCATGTCATCATACCACCCTCCACTCGTGTGAAGATGCACGCAAACCAAGAAGCGTTTGCCTCGATCACGTCCGAAGACGCCCAGTCCGAGTGGCGAATGACTCGGCCGCGCCCGAAGACGCAAACACGAGTCACCGCGTGCCCCGGTTGTATCCGAAGATGCCTTGACAGTCCGAGTGGCGAGTAGCTTGACCTCGCCCATAAGTGCCCACAGGCCCAGTTGCGGTTGGTTGATTACGCCGAGACGACAGAGTCGCTGTTGTCGAACGGAGAGGATGTAGTTGCGTGATTTGTCTAAGGTGGGATCACGAGTACCAACCTAGGCAGCTTCACAGCTCCAAGTCCGCCCTCAAAGCCGCCCAGCGCGCCGCCGGGCGGTGTTGGTGAGAGCCATCGCGACCGTGTGAATGCGCAGCCGCCCGTCAACACCGGTGCACCATGTGTACCGTCATCAATGGAGGCGCAGCCAGAGCGTCTGACGGAATTGGCGAGTGTGCTTGGTCGGCGTGGCTTTGACTGCCGCCTTGACTGTGACCTTGCCTGTCGTATTGCCGTGCTGGCCGTGAGTTGGGTCGCGAGGGGGAAAAAGAGAACAAAAACCCCGAACGTCTTGTGAGCTGCGGTACTGATGACGTCGCACTGCTGGGAGAACTTGTCGGCGTAGTCGAGCAGATCAATGCCCAAGGCAAGTGCACCCTCGTCGTACACACTGAGATCGCGGAGCCGAACGTGTAGATGTAGACAGACACAGAGCGAGGTTGGCGCGCCAGTTGAGCAAAAAACAAAGGTGCCGAGACGGGTAGGGAAAACGGACCGTATCGCACTCACCCACGAGCGCCAGGGACGCAATTGGCAGGGGCGCTAGATACTGCGTGTTAGTAAATCGCCAGTGCCCTTGTATGAGTTCCTGAGCGCGCTCTTGGGCTGCTGCTCGTGTATGCTGGTATAGCGACCGAGTGGCCGCAGTGCGGTTGCGTGCGCGATGCTCGCGCTGGAGACGTAGATGTGAAGGGTGTCGCCGTCTTGGCTAAAGGTCACGAAACCACGGTGCGTCGCACGCCCGACGGCCACCGTCGCCTGCTGATCGTCGCTCGTCGGGGCCGGGCAAGCGTGCGGACGGTGTCGGACTCGTCAATGATGACGCCAGCCACCGAGCGCCTTCCTTGAGGCGCACCGAGCTGGAAACCACCATTGAGAGACTAAGCTTAGGGCCTTGGTTGCCGCGCAGATGCGGCATATGTCGCCGTGAGAAAGCAAGGTACTTGCAGAAGCTTAGCTTTTGACTGATACTACAAATTCATGGATGACTCAAGCCGCTTGCTCTGCGCCTGGAACTTTTAACGTGTGCGTGCTTCCATGTCTTTGTCTTCTAGAACGCTCGGCCTTGCGCGGAAAACCTCGTCCAATTCTTGGAAATGGCACGTTTGAGGTCGAAAACTTGTATATGAAAATTTGTCGGATTTTTGCTTGATTTAACGGTAAATAAGGCCCGCATCTTAACCCGACAATTTTGGTCAAAGTGGACAAATTTGGTCAGATGCTCGACGCAAAACCGGTGCCCGACTTCCAGCGGTGCGAGCAAAATACGTCTAAAGTCACCGCAGGACGAGCAACACGCTTCCGGGACTGCAATCGCGTCGGAAATTTTACAACACCTAAAATTCTCTCCAGAATCGGTTCAACGTCGCAAAGGGCTGAAAAGTCACACAACGGACAGTACATAGTAATAGAGCAGACGTTTTTGGCCCTCCCTACCTTAATTGGTCCGTCTTCTAGCTTCTATTACTCAGCATCTAGATATGCTACGAAGAAGATCAAACTATATTCGTGTTCCCCTATGTCTCGGCCATTGTTATATAGCACGCTTAGCGCACAGAACGGCTTTAAATATCGTTTATAGCCCGCACAAAAAGGTCGTAAATCTCTGCCGGGTACTAGTACTGTGTATGCTGTCACAGGGCGTCGCAGTTTTCTGTTGTTTTTTCGATTTCACGGTAAATATACTGTAAGTTTGTATGTTGTTACGGGTTGTCGCAGTTTTCTGTGGGTTGGTTGTCGCAGTTTTCTGTGGCTTGGAACCAACGGCCACGCAAGGATGATGCGCGAGATCTTCGACACGTTCTTGACGGACCCAGTCCTCTTGTCAGAGGACGTGTACGTGCTCTGGCTCGAGGGCCAGAACGCAACGAGTGCTCTGGATGTCCGGTTCCGGTCGTATGGACCCTCGTCTGCGTCGTCGGAAAGCCTGTCCGATGACCGCGACGACGAACTGCGCGATCTCATTTGGCGGGACACGGTCGACCAGTATCGCCTCTTTGAGAAGCTCGAGTCGTATTTCATGCACCCGAAGCTTCTTCGCACGCAGCTTCTCTTCCAGATCCCTGCATGGCAGCAACAAGAGATGACGGAGAAGTACTATGGCCTCGACGGGCCCGTCGTGCGTCGCCTTGTCGGAAAGAAGCTCACGTCAAAAGCGCAAAAAGACCTTGACGAAGTCAGCGAGCAGTCGTTCCGGACGCTCAAGAAGTTTGTGTGATTAGTTCCTGCTCCGGACTGATCGATACCCGTGCTGTAGCTGTCGGCGCCAATTTGAGAACCTCCGGCGCATTTACGCCTTGCTTGAAGAAAAGAACTTTCAGGTACTTCTACACCGCATGACCAATCAGGCACCAGCGTTTCTTCATAGGGCTGCATTGCACGTGCTATCAGCGATCACTTCCTCATCTCAGATCGACTCGCCGCAAAGTACGCCGGCATCGTCTTTCTTGTCCACGGGCGTTTCGAAGTGCACATGACACACAAGACAGTCGGGTTCCTGACATGGTCAGACCTACAATTTTTTGCGGCACTGCTTATGAGCCATTGGGTCATGCCATCCACGAAGCGCCACTTGGGCCCTACCAAGCTCGCATGCAAGACACTCTCGGCGTCCATTGCGGTCCTTGCCGAAGGCTCTGCCCTCAACTGTGTCCGGCTTCGACACCGAGTTACCCCTGACGCTTTGGTTTGTGTATGTCTTCGCTGTTGGCTATTTTACTAGGTTAAAATTGATTTCTAGGACACCACCGACACTGACTGGCCGTCGCTGTCGCACCTTGAAACGAAAGTGACGCCAATGAGTGCTCGTCACTGCGTTGGCGTCGACCTAAACCAACGCATGACGAACGCGCTTCGGGACCTCAAAGCACACTTTCTCAACGACGTAGAGACGCTGACCGAGTACCGCAATATCGTCATGGTATGCTCGTGCTCTGTAGTGCATCTTTATCTATTTCTTGTTAGCTCGAGCTTCAATCCAAATTGCAACCAGAGCAACTAGACCATCTTGGCCTGAAGATGCTACCGATAGCACGCGGGGTACGCAACACAAACTCACCTAGTCATTTGGCTCGATCTCTCATATCGAGGAATTTAACGTAGCTGCTCACGATTGGCGCTGGGCTCTCACAGCCAAAAGAACTCAAGGATCTCATCGAAGACGTCGTGGACGCCGTAAGTTTTCGGCGCTTGGTGGTCGTGCAATAATGATGAGTTATTCTAGGCTGGACACGTGTTTAAGGATTCGAAACTGCGTCTGACCGATATCGATTTGGTCTTCTCTGCGCTCATCGAGTACGTCTCATTCCTTCCGTCAACTTCGTTGGATCAGGTCTACGAATGCTAGTTCATTGAGTGCAATCGACGTATGGTACCTAAACGCAGACGAGACGCGTTTGCTCTTGCTTGCGAGCTGGGAATTATTTCTCAGTGTTGTTCGTGGCGTGCTCGTCACCATTTATGACAGACTCTAATAATTGTAATATTGCATCGGTGGGTGTACAATTATTGTCTCTGCTACATGCAGTTTTAATTACTTGGCCCAAGGCTTCGCAACCGCTGTCGCAACTGATGGCGTGTCCAAGCGGGCTTGCGCCTCCGTCGAGAGCTTGTCTTCGATCGTGCGAATGCCGGGAACCCTATAAAGTGAACGTAAACCGCTGCTCCAGGAACGACCATTCGAACATACTCTTCGCCGTTCTGCACCATCTTCATGACATCCGCAAAGGACGTAGGGTAGCTCGGTTCGGTGCTTGAGATAATAGGGCTACTACTGACGTCGTCAACTTCGATGCGCGCCGCCTTCTGCTTGACATCTTGCTTCGCACCAAGCTTTTGCAAGAACGATTCCAGGTTGGGGGTCTCAACCGTTGTTTTCTCTGCAGACTCAACCACGATCGCTGATGGCGCGTGTGTCGAGAGAAAGTTCTCGGCTGCGAGCGAGAGCACATCCCCGTTGTTGGCGACCGCACTCTCGAAGGCAGAGACAGCAGCCTTCAAAATCGTCAAGCTCGACGGCTGCTCGTGCCATTTCCATTCCATGCTCATGCCGACCTTCTCGAACCCAATGCTCGTAAGTAGCGCAATATGGTGCTGCGCGTCGTCAGAAAAGTGAATCGCTTGGCGTGTGCAAATCTACCTGAAGCGGCTCGATCTTTTGCTTGAAGTTGGCGTTGCCTGTCGCAATGCGTCGGTACCGTGGTACGTCTGGCTGCTAATTGAAGGCATGAATGCTAAACCGAATGACGATAGTTTGGCGCGTCTACCTCGACCAAATTCTTGGTGTACATGATGAGAATGCCAGCCGCCTGTTTGATGGCGTCAGCGTCGTTCTAATCATAAAATAGTAGCGTGAGGGGAGACATTTACGGGCTCGTTACGCACGTCCAGCTCGACGAGGCGAAGAGCGTCGAGCATTTTGGATGCTTTGATCTGAAAGTCGGCCAGAGCATCGAGAACCGGCGTCGACTCCTTGAGTGCGTTGGGTACATCGATAGCGACGGGGTTCACATTTGCAGCACGCATTGGCTGCAGCTTCTTCACGGCGGCTTTGAGACTCGTGAGCTCAGTGCGCAGCTCCGTTATGATTTGCGACGTAGTTGTTTGGCTGGAGAGCAATGCTCGCCGTTCTTGAGCCTCGAGTTGCATGACGCTCATAAGCTTGACCATCTCAGCTGTCTGTCCTTGGATCGCCTGGACAAGCGCCGTTTCTAGGTTTGCAGGTGTGATGTGAGGTACGAACGACAGGAAAGATGAGAACCGTTTGAGACTGTGGCTACACGAGCATAATCGTCGGCTGATTCAGTGTCCATCTTTTGGCTTTCGTCGTACTGCATGAACTTCCAGAGAAAACCGAGCGCGGCCGTTGTGCCTGCGAGTGGGAAAAGCGTAGACCAAATCGAGGATGACGCTGGCGCCGGTGCAGACTTGGCGAGCGCAACGTTAGTTTGGTGATGAGTCTCCACAGCAGCGTTGATCTCCGCGCGCGAAAGTCCCTTCTTTTCGAGGAACTCGAGGCGTTCGGCAAGTGGCGTCGCCTAACGCAGCGAACGACATTGACGCATGTTACGGTGGATGCGGGCGTACCTGCACGTCCGGGTGGCTTAGGAACCGAACGCCGCTGGCGACCTTCTCGGTGTCGATGGACGCGGGCGTCGGGGCAACGTCGGTCGTCTCCATCGCGTCGTTGGAGTCGCAAAATTCTTGGTGACACGAAATCCGCACGCTCAACTCATATCGAAGTTGAACTCGAAGTTCGAAGCGTTGCGTAAACAGTGGCAATCTTGACTGTGATATGCCGGTGAAGCATGTCCTAGTTACAGATAACGAACGCAAGACTCGACCACAGTGGTACACCAACATATATGGCAAAATGTATAGAGGCGGCAGGAGGCCCCACTTGCAGGAAAAAAAATATTTCCACATGTTTTGCCAGCCAGGTCCCATCAGTTACTTTTGATTGGCCAAAAACTTCTTTTATCATCCAATTAGAGGCCATATCAACTCCCGCTGAATGCATCGGGACAAACCCTGGGATAAACATCAATGGCCAAGAGCGGCCTTCGCATCAACATTCTTGCACAAACATTCCTTCCTGAAGCGCTAGATGATGAACGCGTAGATTCCGATGCGCAATGCTGTATTTTTTACACGTCATACTAGTACATGGTAGTCTTCGGCAGCGCCTTTTCCCAGGCCTTGCGAATGGTTGCGGGATTGAAGTTGCGCGTGCTGTGCAGCCGCAAACGCACGAATGCTCTGGATCGGGTTCGACAAGTCGAGCTTGAGCAGCGCTTGCCGGTCACGGACAAAGTAGTGACGTTGGACACGCTGCGGTAGGCGTGTTGACCGTTGCATGTAGACCCGATGGTGCGCTGTCGGCTTGAAGTCCCAGTCGATGTCGTGAATAAACTCTTCGACGAGGAACTCGTCGCAGCACCTTGGAGAGTAGAACACGACACCTTCTCGAGTAGCGTAGCGCGTCGACGTCAGACGTTCACTGGTGCATGCCGCATGAGCAAGACCTCCGCACATCATGCAGTCGAGTGGTGCACCTTGTGCGCACGCACGGAAGAGACAGCTCATTGCTGATGACGGTCGATCGACAAATGAAGTGTGCCGAAGATCGCAATGTCGTGCGATTGTGGACCTTTGTCCCAATCGCAGGTTCTGCCCAGCCGTCAGTCCGCCTTCTGATTGGTCCATTTCACATGCGTTTTCATTGGTAGAAAGTCATGGGATGGCGTGAGGTGGCCGTTGCCTCGGCATTGTGATTTTATTCAAAGTACCACTGTGGTCGAGTCTTGCGTTCGTTATCTGTAGAACCACCGGTCCCGATGCTTTCTTGACCAGCGGTGCTGTCTTCAATGGTCCATGCTCTCATTCAAT